AATAAGCTAATATTCAAAGTAGGATTGACCAAATTTGGACTAATCTATCTATTACTAAAATTAAATATACAGATATCCTTCCAAATTTATAGCCCGATATTCATCTGATTGGCTGATCAATTCAATTGCCTGGGTAACTAATTTATGTGCTTTAAAGTACTTTTTAGGAATTCAATGTTTCACTAACAAAAAAAATTTTTTTAATCATAGATAGCTTCGAAAAGGCGCTAACAACTACTGTGCAAAATAATCAACAGATAATCAATATTCTCAGTGACTTTTATTAGAAGAGAAAAATATGCCTCCAACTACTCCTCTTATTGGTTTGTGTATTATTACTATTTGTCAGAGACAGTCGACTCAGTGGAGAAGAGTAACTGAGAACTTTCTCTCTAAAGCCCAAGCTAATAGTACTTTGCCAAGCTATGTTCATCTAAATGATACAGTCTGTTTGGCCTGTTATAACGGAATTATAGTAAACCATTTATCTGAATTTAAGCAACATTCTCAGGCTATTATAAAAGAGAATGAGTATGAGGAATTAGACAAGATTGAAAGTGAAATTACTGACCCTACTTTGTCATTTTCTCAAGCAATAGTAGTACTAACAAAAATTTTATCTACTTGTAAAAAAGAAAAACAACTTATAGTATATGTGTTAAATAAATTTAAAAAAATCATGGAAAAAGAGAACATAAGATTAAAGCCTTTTTTTACTGAATTATTATCTTATATTTAAAAATAATAATAAATAAAAATGCTGCTAATAAAAACTGTTACTAGTAAATTTTTGTTTAATTAGAAATAAAAATATTAATATAATATGAATTTATCAAATCAAATTGTAGCACAATATGAACTACATTGCTAATTGATTCTACTAGAACCATGTTGTATATATTAGTTAATCGTAAATAAAGGCATTTATATTTATAAAATTTTGAAGGGGTGTTTGAGAATTTAAAATTGTACCAATGAATAAGTGCAAGATCAAATGTCATAGTATCTTTTAATACAATATGAATTAATAATAATACCTAAAAAAATTAAATATTAAATTTGATTTAACTTAAAACATTTTGAAATATATAAAATTAATTAATTTAATACATATTTTTGCAAAGCAAAGTCTATCAAACGTTTCAAATTCATTCTGTTTAGAATCCATATGTATGGAAACATTACTAAACATTGGTGCATTGTGAAAATTTTTTGTGGCTCTTACTTGTTCCTTATTAGGTAAAATGAAAAACTCATATAAAATAAAAGTTAATTCAGATTCTTCAATTTGTCTTTTAACTATTGGCATGAGATCAAAATAATCATTCATCGTAGAAATAAGATTCTGTAACTCTTTAAGAATTTCAGGAACATAATCTTTTTCATATTCATATGATTTAATAAGTGGCTTTAAAAGGTATAGTGATATATTACAATATTTTTTACCAAATTTTGCTAATTTTTTTTTAGATCATCCATTATGCATAATGATATATTCATAAATATCTCTATGTGTAAGTATTCATGTTATCTAATAATATTAGTTAATGTTAAAGCATATTAGTATAAAGTTTTTTTTTTTTGGTATTAAGGTGACCTCTTTGGTTTGGGGAACTTTTTATTAGAGTATAGACGAAGTTTTATATATAATT